TGCTTCGTTTGCAGGTGTTCAAATACAGGACTCTATTACTGCTGACCCAACAGCAGTGGGTGTTCTGGAGTACCCATGTTTCAGGTCACAGGGTTCTCCAAATCCTAAACTTCTTACTTGGCAGCTAAGTTAGGAACAGTTGCAAAGCTGTATCTATTGTGCCTGTGCAGATCTGCACATCAGAAATGGAGATGTAATGCAAACAAAACCAGAAATTAGACCTTTGATAAGTCACCCACATTTCTTCTTCTCCATTATGTCTCTCTGTCAAGGTACCTATCTGGCAACACTACACTCTGGAAACAATGAGAGTCTACTGACTACTTTTATTGTTATATCTCCAGAGTGTGCCACTGTGAACAAATCAATTGATCGACCCATTTGTCTATCCAGCTATTAATTGCACAGTCCCATTTTTATTTTAACCACCTCAAACTCCAGCTACACAGTCTTTGCCAAAACTTTTATGAAATTTGACTTGATAAGCTTTGGGCATTACACTAAGCATCCTGTCTAATAGATGCTCATAACAACACTGCTTTCCTGGGGAAGGTTACCTTGGGTTTGAAGAGACAAAGGGGCATGATTCCTTGGGTCAAACCGTGTAAGTGTAGCATCTTCATGTGCCCTCAGCCAGCAAGAGAAAGCAGCAGGAAAGGGAGTACAAAAGCTTCAGAGCATTCTTCTTCCCAACCTTATGCTTCTTCCTGTCCTCCCTCTCCTGCATGTTCCCTCCCTCACCTCTCTTCTTCCTGCATCCCATTCCTCCCATCTGCCACTGCACTCCATTCCCCTCATCTCCTGCTACCCCTGCAGAGGCATCCCTGCAGTCTGAGCCTAGCCCCCAGGTGCATTTTACTGCTGTTGTCTCAGCACTGGCTCCTCTGATCTACTCCTAACCTTTTTATTTTATTTTTGTTTTAAAATTAATTTCCCTGTAGATTTTAACCACTCCATTTTCATTTACCCATTTTGTTCTTCCTCTCCTCCCTTCCCCACCCTCCTCTTCCTTCCCCTGTTCCCTTTGTCTGTCTGTGTCCATCCCTTACCCTACCACAGAAAACCTCTCCTCTCCCCTCAGTATAAAGCAAGAGCCTCATGGAGCCTCTCTCACCCCTTTCACCCCCACCACGCCGGTCGGCTCTGGGCAGGCTGATCTTCAGCCCTTCCACATGGCCCTTTCAGACGATGCGTCCACGCCTTGCTACAGTGCCTTCCTTCATCATGGTGCCCACTTTGGGCAGTCCAGCAGCCAGCCTCTGATAGCAGGTAACCGGCCTTGGCCACAAACTGAGTGGGGATGCTGTAGGCAAGGGGTTCAGTTTCGTCTGACGGGGAGGCCAGTAAATGTTGTAAGGTCTTTGAGGGCAAGTGGGAACCAGAGCAACCACGTTCCAGGTCTGCATATGCAGCATGTATTCTCAGCCCCATGGAGAGTCACAAAAATATTTCATGCCTGTCCTTCATTTTTTAGAATAAAATGGGTAAAGGGACCTAGAAGTGACTGGGTATCCCAGTTGGATGGGTCTGGGACTTAGTATAGAAACACTTGTACAGCAAAATCCTGTGTTGCCTCAACAGCCATAATATCCCTGAGTACTGTCAGCCCAGCAAGGGAACAAGCCTTGTGTGTGCTAGCCTAAGGTATACGATAGCAGCTTGAAGATCCTAGTCAGCTCTAGGCCTGCCTGGCTTGTTCAGCATGAGTTGTAACTACTAAGTTAGATAAACACATAGACACTGGTGAGCACTGCCATAGCTATGCTGTGAGACGTGTTTGAGTTACCTACTTTGGGAGCATCAGTGTGAGCTGGTACCTTCACACAGGAGACCAAGTAGTTAAGAAACCCAATATTGTATCTGAATGCCAAGAGCAGGAAGAGTGTGTGAGAGACTATAATGTTTTACAGCCAAAGGAATTCAGACCAAAGGTAGGTGGCCTTTAAGGGAAGAGCAGAAGTGAAGAAATAGGTTGCAGAAGATGGCAGCACTTAGGAGCAGTCGGCTGGAGGGGAGGATGGGGAGGAGGAACAAGTTTTAGGTAGGTACTAAGGGAAACTCCTGAGCAAGATGACTGAAGCAACACTGCTGCAGTTCAGGGGTGATTTTGATGAAATAGTGGGTATCATCTTAGGTGACCACTGACCACTTTTCAAAGGATGTAATCCGGCCATTTTCAGAACAGACAAGTCTGGGTGCAGACAACAGTTCCTAATACTTCAGCAACATATCTTACCTCTGCCTCCTTCATGTTCCTATATTATTCTCTTTTGACCTTACATCCACTGTCTTGTCATGTGAGATTTCCATTTTTAAACCTTCATGTAGGAAACAGCAAGTAACAACAGAGAAGATTTTGTGTTCATAACACTATCTTGATCCAACCTTTCTGCAGCCAATAAGAGCCTCTGAGTTCTGGGCACATTCTAAGCTAGGACATCTCCTGACACAGTCTCTCCAGCAATATAGATCTCTGGGGATGTTGTCATATAGACCATCCTGTAGCCTAGAAGGCACTGTGTTTCGGGAGAGGCACCGGCCTGAGGACCCTTATAAGGAATTAGACATGGGATGAAGTGTTCAAAAGTTCAAACAGTGTCACACTGACTCAGGTGCTGTTCCTCACTCAGAGGCTCTTAGAGGAGGGAGAACAGCTGGAGCTGGAGGCACGTTATGAGCTAGCTTTGCCAGAGCCATGGAGTACAAGAATTTAATAATCCTGTCTACTTGCTTGTAATGAGAGGAGGTAATGGAAGGGGCCTGCTTGTATGTAAGAGCATTTTAAGAGCCTCTCTGTGGGACTCCTACTGATGTTGCCAATACTGTACTTGTTTGTTATCTTCTTTTTCAAGATTGGGATTTTGACAGATGATCACTTCCCAACAAATTTTCCATGCTCAGTTTTGAACATCAGCCTCTGTGCGCTCATGTCTGAATAAAAACACAAGGGCATATGTGCATACATCAAGTAGCAGAGTGAGTGTATATGTGTTCCCACCTGAATGGAAGTGTCAAAATGAATTAATTTTGCCTGCTGCTACATAATGTTATCTCTAACTTTTCAGTGACACTGTTTTCCCACTCATCACCTGTTGTTATAGCTCAGGCTAGTCAATAAATGAAACAAAAAGAACATGAATTTTAAGCATAAAAATTTCTTGCCTTAAAAGAAAGTGAGAAAAAAATAACTGTATCTAGTAGGTGTTATTCATACAGCTTAACACAGAGCTACAAATCACTATAGGAATGATGGTGATAAAAGGGTAAAAGAATGTAGACTATAAATCCCTGAGACATTACATACTTACTTTTATCAATATTGAGGAGTGGCTGGAAAATGGCTCAGCCACTGTGTGGTAGTTCTGTGCTATTATCTAAGAGAAGGTGAGCTAGGAACATCAGCTACTGACCAGGAACCTCTTCAGGGAGAAAGAATGAACTTGCATTTCTGTTTTCTTGAATAAATCAACTCAGTAATCCTTAGTCAAGACCTATGAAAGCAATGACAGTAGTTTAGCCTACTTCATCCCAGAGAAACTTCCTCCCTTCAGGTTAATGTTCCACACTTATTAGTTTTTGCTTTGCCTTGCAGCTGTTATTTATTTCTGATTCCCCAGCCAAGGCTCGTGCTTGTTCCAGGGTCTGCTTTATAAGTTATCATTCTGCTGTTAGTAGAGCTAAACCAACTCTTCTTCTTTCATTGGCATATCCCAGCATGGTTCCAGTGACTCCAGTGGTGTTAACGGGCTATAGATAACCTGTCACTTCTAAAGCCAAATCAGACTTCTGCCCTCCAGTTAGAACAGACAGGATAGACAAAATTTAACAAAGGAACAACAAATGGCACAAACTTCTTGGTGGGCTACAGTTCACCTAGGGAATGTGAAAGGCTTTGGATGCCTGGAACAGGCTGACATCTCAGTAGGCAGTGTTGGAGGCTGAGCTGTAAATCTCCCAGCAGCTGTGGGGGGAAGATTATCTTAATTTATTTAGCCTTTTTCTGGTTTTGGTTTGGGGTTTTTTTGGTTTTTTTTGTTTTGGCTTGAAACTACCAGCAGCTTCTGAGATTATTTTAGTTCATTTAAATGCAATAAGCACTAACAGCAAATGCCCTTCTGGCTGGCCCATTTTCAGGGTAACCGGTCCAAATGAGGAAACGCCTCTGGCATCAACCAAGAAGCCCCCAGCTGCACTTCCTAAGAGATGAAAAATAAACTACAATCATATACCCAATCCACACCCCTCTCTTCTTTAGTGGTGAAAAGATACCACAACTTTAAGCATTACAAACAAAAACTTGTACCGCTGATAAAAATGAAGTGAGACTTGAACTAATTTGAATGATACTATTACTACATATGTGACACCAGCACCTGGAAGGAGTCCAACTAGTACTGGTTTCATGCTAAGCACTGTGCAAATGTACTCAAAGTGTGCTCTTGCACCAAAGAGTTTGCAGCATAAAAAGAAGCACAGAGAGGTGAAGTGACTTGCCTAAAACCATTAGCAGGTAAATGGCAAAGGTGAGAAGAGAGACAGGCACAGAAAACTCTTGGATCACTTTCTAGTGCCTTGCACATTGATCATGCCCTAAAGAAATGTCACCACAGTTTTGGAACTGTATCTACTGCATATAGACAGGACCTCAGCTACTTTGGCAATGAATATGCTGCCACTCTCTGTGCAGACTGCACTCTCTGTGCAGACCAGGACCATTTTCATTTAGTTAAAATAGGTCCAAAATCTACAATGAAACAAAACAAATTCTTTTGAGCCTCACAAAGCTAAGTTTTTACATCCTCCTTACAGTGTGACACCAAAAGTGCCTCAATCTTTACCCAGAATTTTCAGTGCATGGACAACACTTATGTGAGAGAAGGCTGCACAGTAAATGCCTGTCAAGCTGTTAGTCACATGACACTGGGACAAAAGGCAATAACAAATCAATATTGAAAGATCTTATCCCTATTGATCACCTGTCCTGATTTTTCCCTTTCCAGGTCGTGATATGGCAAGCACCACCTTGCCTGGCTACCCACCCCATGTTCCCCCAACTGGACAAGGCAGCTACCCAACCTCAACTCTTGCAGGAATGGTTCCTGGTAAGTCAGCCGCCAGACCTCAGTAATGGGGCACACGTGTTTGGATGGTTTACCAACATTGTAAGAGCTATCACAGCTGGCTTGGCTACTGCTTTGCTGACATGAAGAGCTATTCTTTTCATAAAGAAATCATCAGGTGCCTATAACCAATGTAGCTAACAACCCTTTTTGCAACATACCTCTTTCCCACTAGTAACTGATTCACTGCTGCTATGGGCAACTAGCTAGCTATAACCTGTGGCAATTAATTGGTAATTAATTAACCTTAGTATTCATTAACTAATGTAATTATTTTTCCAATGACCCATGCAGATTATTATGTACTGCTCATGGCTCAGGATAGTCACCTATCCACTAACTTAGGGTAACAACTTACCTTCTTTCTAAAGCCATAGCATCAAACTGAAAATAATCGATGGTAATTTAATACCTGCAGATTTTGGAGACCTACTGTCCATAGCCTAAACTAGCTAAGAACTCAGCAATGATTAACAGCATATCAGGAGAAACTAACTATTCATTTTTAATAAACAACAATTTACATCCCCTCCTGTTTGTAAGATAGTGCCTCCAAATCCAAGAAACTATCTACCTAATCCTACAAGGCAAACTGTTTCTAAGGCACCCACTGCCTTTGGAGAAACACCATATCTCAACATATGGATTCTCTCACTCTTTAGTGAGAAGAGAGGACCATATACTCTAGGGCAATTGAAGAGTTTATTACCTCAGGCTCTATTCCCCACTTCTCTGATGACAGTTGTCCCCAGTAGATAAATGAGGAGGCAAGATTTTCATTTCTCAGCTATGGTAGCTCAGAGCTCAGAACTTCATCTGCCGCTGATTTCTGCTTGTGTTACAGCCTGGGGTTATGAGTCGTGATGGTTAATGGGCAGGTACACAGTCCATTCTGCAACCTCTGCTATAGAAGGGATGGGTCCAAAACTGAAGCAGCAGAACATTGAGGACATAAAGCTCTTAAATTGCTATCATAGGATTTGCCAGGGCTTATGAGTGAAAAGCCTAACTTAACCCTAATCCAGATCTCGGAACAGCAAGCTAAATGAACATAAAATGCAGTGAGGACAGTGAAAATATCACTGACAGGAAAAGTTTTCAGGTCTAAGCCAAATCATAGAATCATAGAATGGCTTGAGTTGGAAGGGACCTTAAAGCTCATCCAGTTCCAATCCCCCTGCCATGGGCAGCGACACCTTTCACTAGACCAGTTTGCAGAGTACCCCATCCAGCCTGGCCTTGAATACTTCCAGGGATGGAGCATCCATAGCTACTTTGGACAATCTGTTCCAGTGGCAAATTTTAGAGCATCTCCTTCTGCACTAACTTTTTCAGGGAGATGGTTTGGCTCCAGAGTCAGAGAAGCACTAAGACAACATAAATCAATTAACACAACACTCCCCTACCCCAGTCACTCACTAACAGTAGGTAGACTCAGTTGTCAATATTTAAATCAGTTATATGTCAAAACTTACAGAAGGTTATGGCATACAGAAATTATTCATAGTGCCAAAATATCTGGCTATTTGAACAGAGACGTCTGAAAGAGTCTTCTCAAGCAGACTCTTCTCAACTTCTGTTTTCAACTGTTCAGTGATTACTGTCTAAGTTTAATGTCCTCATCACAAGGACAAAAATTTTAAGCCCACAAATCACAGGGGTCACTTATCCAAGAACAGAGTATTTTGGTTCCTTGATGTGGAGGTTACTTATCTATAAGATAGCATTGTCTCAAAAAACCCACAGAAGTACTCCCAAAAAGAAAAGGAATAGGATTATACAGAAAAAAAAAACAGTTAACTTATACTTTAAAGTGAAAAAAAAATAGTCCAGTCAAATGGGAATCTTTACATAAAATTTGATCTCAGCATTCAATTAGAGGAAGTTTTTCCAGTGGCCTATTTGGGCATCCTGCAGTAGTTACTGCATCTTTCAAAAAAGCATCAAGTTCTGGCTGTTTCAGTCATACCACACTGGTCAGACCCAGCCTGGAAGAGCTTCTATTCCTGTCTTCTAATGTGACTGAAGCCAACAAGCTGGAGATAAAGAAGCTTCCTAGGAAGGAACAGAAGACTGGGCTTTAATGGGTCACACTGCAGATCTCTGCAGCCACTACTCTGTGTCAGGGGCCTACAGTGAAAGCCTGAGGAAGAGTATAAGCGTAGAGAAAGAATATATTGGTACTTGATCAAAAGATCTCACAGCCGCCATGTTGCAGCTAAAAGACTTCCTAAGCCAGACTTAGTATCTTCCTATTTGAAATTAAACACCCTTGATAAGTTTCCCCTCGACAAATTTATACAGTGTCTCCTGAGCCCATATACAAGTCTTTAATATCCATAGCAACCTATGGCAAGAAGTTCTGTAGCATAACTACGTATTCTGTGAAAACTACCTCCCTTATTTGTTCTGAACCTGCCACCTGCTAGGCTCACTTCATGCCTCATCGTTTCTGTATTAGAAGACTAAACCAACAAGGTTTAAATACAGATGCCAAGAAATACTGTTAGTAAAGATTCCCTGAGCATAGATTGCACAGAATATAGGCCTCATGAGATCGATCCTCTGTGCCTGCTTACAACCTCTGTTAAGAGTCCAGTTTGAACAGAGAAGAATATGATGTTGCCAATGGTTTGTTACATACCCTCAGCCCAAGAAAGATCAGGGGACAGTGCTTTAACTACACTGGAAACAAGAAGCCAGCAAGATGACTACTCAGGAAGTATCCTTAAGAAACACACTGGCATGCAAGCAAACCTATTGTTCAGACGTGAGTGAATATGAGATAGAGGCTCTGTCTTCTCAAACAAAGGTGCATAGCTAAACACAACTGTGACAGATTTCTAACCCATACAAAATTCTGATTTTTTGACATTTGTTTTCATCTTGCATTGGTATGAGGAGTCAGAATCTTGAAACAGTTCAATTTGCAAACATCAGGATGAAACATTTCAATAACGTCAACATGTTCTAGATGTCAAGACATATTAAAATAATAAAAGAATTGAAAGGAAATTAAATGAGATGGGAAAGGCAAAATGAAACAAAACAAGAAAGTTGAAACATAATACTTTGTTTCAATTTGCAATAATTTCAGAACTTTTCTTTCCAAAACACCATTGAAGCTGACAAGTTCGTGCAAAACATTTCCATCTCAATGAGACAGCACTTTGCAGTGGAAAACTGTTTCTGAGAAGATTGTTTGACCAGTGCTAATCAAAGCTGCTGTGTTCTACCCATGACAACCTTTCACTAGACTTCTACTTGCATGGTCTAGAGAAGAGCTTGTCTGCTGCAGCAGTACATCCATGCAACATGGTCAGTCATGCATGCGAATATCTCTGAGGTTTATGTGGATGATGTGACAAGATACATATCCTGCATTTGCCCTTGCCTGTAACTTCAGGTCCCAGACTGTAAATGTGTATGAAAGCCAGTAGTCCCTGAGCACACACTTAGAAAAGCAGGAGTTAGTCACTCAGAGAAGGCTGAATCAGGTATTGTGCTACACTTAACCTATGCATCTGAGAGAAGTTTCCTGCACACGTAACAGAGCACCTTTGATTCCTGCCTCAATTCTTCCTCTTTCCCAGAAAGGCCATCAAGTTTCTGCAAACTGCTTTGGTGAAGTGAGCATCCGCTGAAGGAACTGCAGTTTACACAGAGCAGTGCGGAGCCTGCAAAGGGCTGGGGATGGCATCGGCAGGGAGTCGTTAAACAGAATCCAATGTTGATGAGGAAATTACACTTGTTTCATTAGTGATCGGGGAAGGCGATAGCTCAGTTCCTCTTGGTCACAGTTGAGCTCAAAAGCTCATTATCCTACTGCATGCATGCTTTCACTCCTCGTCAATAAACACTGTTTCCAGTGGCTGCCCTCCCTCCTCCCCAGTGCTCCATAGCTGTGGCTCTTTCTCCTCTACTTAACCCGTGCTTTAGGAATACTATAAACAGTTTAGGGTGACAACTCAGAAGAGGGTGAGAGAGAAGTCTTGAAATATCAGCACAACTTCACTCCATGTAAAGAAGTGATGTTATATGAGGCACTTTAAGGTGGAAATTCTCATCTGGATTGTTTTTCTCCTTCTTTGGGAGGCAAACTCATGCCAATATATTCCACAGATAAGTCAATTCAGTAGAGATGAAACTGGACTGTGCATTGCACCTTGGTCACCTTAGCAGGTTTTATCTATTCCTTCCCAGCTAGCTGTCAGAATTTTCAGTGGAGGACGTTTCTAGCTATGGAATTAAGCTGAGTTATTAAAACAGTAGTTAGCAACGTCTGTCACACAAAATTAGATTTTATGCTGAAACTAAATGCTACTGTGACTAAAATACCTTTGGAAAGTGATTGGTTTTGATGCATACACATTTTTGCACTGACTACTTTCCTTATTACCCTGAATACCTTTAACAAACCTAGCTGGAAAGTTTCTCCTCAAGTTTAAAGCAGTGCAAATCCCCTGACTTCAACAGACTTCATTTCCACCATCCCAGAATCTGTGGGTTTGGCTTTAACTCTCCAGTGAGGGAGATTTGCAGACATTAAGGTATAACTAATGGCCATTTCTTTGGTAATTGTATCACAGATATCCATAGCACCTTGCATTGCCTTCTTTTCCTGTTCTACGGTACCTAGCAGGAACTGCCAGGTGCTTTCCAGACACTTCTGTTGTAACAATACCACCCTTGCCTTAGGGCAGACCAGAAACCAATAGTCACGCTGTTTTCCCATTGTCTTTAAGTACATAATGCCTTTCAGATGGCATTAATTGTCCCCAGTCTGTTGGTACTGCATTAAATTGAGGTTAGGATCAGATACTGTCATGTTCTTCCTTAACATAATCATACATGTTTAAGTTCTGGGAGATCTATTTATTTTGAATGCGGCACCATACCTTCCTCAGTTACCAAATATCCTGCACAGCCTGCTATAAAACAGAGACACTCAGCTCCTTCTGCATAATAAAACTGAATATGTAAGAAGACTACAACATTCACATCTTGCATCAGAGTCTTATTAGATCACAAAGCTCACAAGTATTTTGGTTTAGGCCCATTTTATTTAATGTGAAAAGGAGAGCTGCAGCTCAGTTTGTCTTTCAGATTCAGAACAGTAGCTAAAACACTAATCATTAGAAAATTATTTTCTGGAGCTGGAATCCAGCAAGTTTTCTCTGGAACTCACTAACTAAGCATAAAGGTGGAGTTAATCATGTATGAATCTCTTTTATGACTAATACCATCATACAGAGTAAGAAAGAAAGCGATTCACATGCTTTCTATTTTGTTTTATATTTAAGCCCACCCAACTCAGAACATTTTCAGAAATGAATGATACTCTTCTCCACAAATATGTCATCACACTCAGCACTCTATGAACAGAATTTAGCAATACATATTGCCATTAACAACACTGCTAGTCCCAATGAGGTTTTTGTTTGTCCCGTCAAGCTCCCATGCCTGCTGCCTTGACACTACTGGAGAACCTTAGATTTTATTTATAAGAAAGCTGATAGTTAAGTGCAGATAAAACTTGCATACATAATCCTACTGCAGCTTGAGAATTGGAAGACAGAAGGCAATGAAAAATCAGGACACAAAAAATAAACCAGTTTAATTATTTATTTGTATCATTGAATTTAATCATTTTAAAGTAATTTCTTCATTGTGAAGAGGTCAATCTTACGATTTTTAATGGCATGGGTAAGCAACATTACACTGAAGAAGCACTGCAGTGTCCCGAAGGGCAGAGTCCTAGGTGGGCAACTTTTCCTGCTGGCATACAGATAAGCGTGACGGAAGAACAGACATAAGTCTTCATTCCTAAGTGTATTTCATATCTTCCTTGGTTTCTTCCAGGGAGCGAGTTCTCAGGGAACCCCTACAGCCACCCTCAGTACACGACCTACAATGAGGCCTGGCGGTTCCGCAACCCTGTACTAAGTGAGTACCTCTTTCCCACAGCACACCCCCAGCCTCGCGCTCCTTCTGTTTGTCTCTTCGTTTTCTTTTCTTTGGTTTTTGGTTTTGTTTGTTTGTTTGTTTCTGAAGAGAGTATTCGGGCAGGTGAAAGACCTTTTTCCTTATTTTCCAATCCAGTGTGGAGATGGGTATATAGCTCATGCATGTTTTGCACCAGTTCTGAAGTTGACTCCTCTTTCATGAGATGGTTCAGAAATTCAGTTCAGCTCTGGCTTTTCTATGGGCTGCACCCACCATTTATTACAGATTATATCAGAAGTTAAATTCAGGTTCTGCTACTCTCTCAGGCCAGAATCAGCATCCATTCAAGGCCTGATTAAAAATCCAGATGAGGTTTTGCTTCACTCCCAAGCTAAACCCAGAGTCAATTCCTGGGGATCTAGAAATCCCATACAAGTTCTTCCTATTGGACCAGTTGGAACAGTTTCCAAAGTGGGAGACAGGCTGCATCACTAAGTTTACAATAGCCAGTAGAGTTCTCTTGCAGGGATATATATCCATCTCCAGTGACTAATATGCCCAGAAATAGGTTTTTTTTCAGAGGGGAAAAAAACTCTTATAAGACCATATTTTCTAAGATGATATTTCTCTTCAAAGGAATAGGAAAAGATTTATTATATGTTAAATAAATCAGTTGTGATTATTACCTACATATTTACTGAGGTTTAACAACAAGATAAGAGATGCACATTTTATTCCAGTGCTGTTAAACATCAGTAAATGTGATCTTAATAGTCAATCACTATTTAACACACATTCAAGAAGCATCCAGAGAGCTTTCATGCCAAATGTGACCCAAATCCCAGCCAGTAAAACATTGTATTATTGTTTCATTTTTTCCCTCCTGGTTTTAAAGGTGACCCATTTTACTTTGTCAGGTATGCTCAGAACATCAGCCTGTGACACGTTCCTTGTGGCTATGGCTCAGGTGTGGTGCATTTGTGCTGCAATGCTGTTGTGGTTTGATCCCAGGCATTAGCCAAGCCCCACGCAACCACTTGCTCCCTCTCCCACCAGTGGGATCAGGGAGAGAATAGGAAGGGTAAAAGCTAGAAAACTTGTAGGTTGAGATAAAGACAGTTTAATAGAGAAAGCCAAAGCTGTGCATGCAAGCAAAGCAACACAAGGAATTAATTCACTGCTTCCCATGGGCAGGAGGTGTTCAGCCAACTCCAGGAGAGCAGAGCTCTATCACATGTAACGATTACTTGGGAAGACAAATGCCATCACCCCAAATGTCTTGCCCTTCCTCCTTCTTCCCCCACTTTATATACTGAGCACGATGTTATATGGTTTGGAATATCCCTTTGGCCATTTTAGGCCACCTGTCCCAGCTGTGTCTCCTCCCAGTTTCCCATGCAGTCCCAGGTTCCTCACCAGTGTGGCAGTCTGAGAAGCAAAAAAGACTCTGTGTAAGCACTGCTCAGGAATGACATCATCATCTCTGTTATCAACCCTGTGTTCCAGCACAAAGCTAAAACACAGCCATACCAGCCACTGGGAAGAAAACTAACTCTACCTCAGCCCAAACCAGCACAAATGCTTATGGGCTTCCCTTCCAGCAACTTACTGATGGTCAGAAGAAGCAAAAGGATCTCCTTCCCATAGAGGGGCATCAGAGCCAGAGGCCACTCAAATACAGCCCTCAGCTGGCTTCCACTGATTGTCTTTTCCTAATCCCATTAGGAGCTCAGTCCCCAAATTCGTTCTTTTGGTTCCTTTGCTTTTCTTTCTTCCTTCCCTTTCCTTTTCAGTTCTCCGTTATTTCCTTTCTTTGTTTGATTGTTTGTGTTTTTTGTTTTGGTTTTTTGTTTTGTTTTGTTTTGTTTACTGTTTGTCCTTTCAACCAGTCCATTCTTCTCCTGTGTTAACTTTCAGGTTCCCCTTATTATTATAGTGCCACATCCCGGGGCTCCGCACCTCCCACTGCTGCCGCTGCCTATGACCGCCACTAGTTACCATGGAAACCACATGAAACTGCAGGGCGACAGCTTAGGCCTCCACATTGTACCTGTCTGATCACCTCCCTCCATCCCTGGGAAGGGTGAAGACACCTTCTCCGTTCCTCCCCACAGTCCAGTTCCTTCCTCTTCGCCGCGAAGGCGCCGGACCAAGCGCTCACCATATGAGACTGACACCCACTCCCCTGCCCTCCACCCCAACCGCTCCCCCACGTGGCCAATTGGCTTCCCCTCGGGGAGCCCTCCCCCACCCCTCGTAGCCACACGAAGCCCCCTCAGCTGCCAGGACTCCAGGGGGCCTGGGAAGCAATGCAGCTGGCAACCATTGCCTTAGAGGACCCCTTTCTGGGAGCGGTAAGGGCCGGGGAAACAGGGGAGAACGCCACTCATCAAACACTGTTCCCCAAAGATACACTCTTCTGTGGTGGACTCTTCAGTGTGTGTAACCTGTGATGCTCACCCTGTTTCCCAGGACAGAGGGAACAGCCTGGCTAGAGCAGAGATAGTAGTACAGAGACCTGTCCCATCGGGCAATGAAGAAAGGACCAAGTAACTATCTGCACCCCACGAGGGGTTCTCTGTGCACCTCATCCCCACTCTCCAGCATGGATTCCCCCAGAGTTGGCTGCACCTCACATGTGGTGACATTGCAGGCCAGAATTGGGAGGAACCTTACACATACACCCACAATTTCTGTGACACACAATCAGCTCAGACAGGAGGATGGAGCAACATTTACAAACCAACCGACGAAATGAAGAAATATATAAATAGATATATAAATATAACTGTGTTTTTATGCTTTGTCATGACATGAAGGTCTGTAAAAAGGAACAAAAAAATTTCCCCAATTTTCTAAAAAACCCGAGCAAACAAAACCAACAAAAAAACCAAAATAATAATTAAAAAACCCTACAAAAATAAAACTCCAAGTCCCATCCCTCCCCACCACCTGAATGGCAGACAAGTTCCTCTGACGTTTGATGCTCCTCTTTCACTCTAGGGTTTTGTTTCCTTTCTGTTTTGCACTACAATGGGATGGTGGTATTGGAGAGGATTGGATGCCAGCTCCACCCAGGTCGCCTCCTCCTCCTCCTTCCCCTTTCCCAAATCCTGTCTCTGGGGAGCAGTGTGGACAAGTCACATCTGACAAAGTTACCAAACACATCAGTCGACAAAAAAAAAAAGCACTCTGAGTCAACAAATGTTTTCCATGTCACTGGTTGGCAAACAAAGAAAACAAGCCCAGCTGCGCTCTAACTGCGCTGTGTGGTGGAAAGTGTGGGGCTTCATGTGGGCCCATCTGATTGCCCTCTGGACAGCTGAGACTGAGATGGACAAATTCAGGATTGGCTGGGATTATTGCTTGGTTCCCTAGCCCTTAGCCTTTGGTCCTTTTACCTTAACCTCTGTACCTGTGATGACTTCAGTTCACCCACATCCCAGCTTATGCAGTTTTAGATATGCCCAACACTCATTCTCCAGATCTCCGCTGCCGGTAACAACACCTTCATTATCTGTGGCCAACACCTAATTTCCTAACCACTATAGCCTTGCTATATGGCCCCCCCCTTCGAATATTCCTAACCACTATAGCCTTGCTATATGCCCCCCCCCTTCGATTCCCAGTCCATCTGCTCATACACCTACTAATTTATAGGTCCCCATTCAAATCCATATGCCTGCATCCTACCAGCCAGTCCCAACATACAGCCCCATCTTTTCATCCTGGATCCTATATCGTGCACCCTAATATTCACCCCTTATCCCAAATGCTCACCTGATGATTCTCTAGGGATTCTCTGCTCTTTTTGGTTCCCAAGTGACTGACAAACACTGTTCTGCAAAAGGCTAACTGTCAATAGAAATGCTTATTACTCCTGTATTGTCAGCAAACTCATAAACTGTTCCTTGCACTGACACTTCCTAAAAATTACTCAAAGAAAACATGAAGGCAGCTATAGCCTGTCCCCAGGGCATCAAGTCTGCCAAAGTAGATCCTTGTTGTTTTAGAGAGGTTTCAGATAAAACTCATGGGCCATTGTCCATGGACAAAGACAGGATTGAGAATAAAACCCCCAAAGGGCATAAAAGTGAACAGTGGAGCAATCTGTACAGCCAACACTATGTATAAAATCCAAAGTTCCAAGCCTCTGAGGAGATGTGGTAGTTGACTCGGTATTCTGTCTCCAAGTTTAACTTGTATGTATGAAATCCACCATCAGTAAACAGCTGTGTTGATCCCAAAGGCCCCTCTCATGTAACTCTTTTAGCCCTTGCATGGCTCTAGCTGATTATAGGTCTGTGTCTTCTTTAATGGGGTGCCCAAATGATAAGGGTATTTGGGGGGAACGTTTACATAGAAGATATAGAGCTAAAATCTGTTCCTGTACAGAATAAAATCAAAGAGGTTACTCTTGATCTATTAAAAGTGTCATTCTGCACATCTTACCTCCGAGTAACCTGCTGCAAATAGCAGAGTTGTTACACTGTCACCAAGACCAGAATTTGGCCTGTTATCTCATCTTTTTCTATGAGAGAAGAAAATTCGGGGCAATTTCTAAAAATTTAGTTTCACCACTCCTTCTGTTTTCCTTCACAGACACCAGATAGATGTTGGACCCTGTTAGTAATGTCTCTCAGTCTCTCAGGAAAACCTTTGCTCTACTTGTGCACCACTCAGATTCACTCAGCAGGTGGTCAGGGCAGAGGCAATAAAAAATCCCAGGACCAGCAAGGAGAAGATCCTGAGGAGGCTAGAGAAAAGGAGACTGTCACACCTCACACTTGGCTACCTGCAGCCCAGGGGTCACCTCAAGAGAAGCTAGCATCTCAGAAATGCTTATTTTTATAAGGGTGTTTCACTAAACTTGAGACAAGAGCTAGGGTCTGAAAACAGGATTTGGTTGGTTCACTCATGGCTAGCTTGATTTGACCCCTGGAGGGCCAAATCTATTGTTGGTTTAACTCCACTGGTAAAAGAGGATTTCCACCAGGCACTGGATTGGTCTGGAAAGTTCATAAGTACAGCACGTAGTTTGACCAGGAAAACTAAAAGGAAAGCAGAATTATGCAAAGGACTGGGCAGTCTAATCCTCTTCCACCACCATCTGTAGACCCTCATGCGAATGTACAGAATTACATTTGCCAAAGAGTTTCTTGTGTTGGTTGTTTTGATTTACAGTCGGTGGATGCATTGTAAAGCAGTATTATAGCCCAAGTCTAGTAGCTGACATGGGGATTTATGTGGTGATATTACGCATAAGAAAACCATCAATATTCATATAGATTCCATTAGACTGGACTATGCAGGAAACGCAAAAATTCTACCAATTATTTAATATTATGTTATTTGCAAAAAACAATTGCTGCTTTGTAGGAAGATAATGTGTGTAATGTGAAGGCAATTCCTCTTGTATATAAGTTCATCTCCATCTTCATCATGGTAGTTATTAAAACAGCCTCGTCTCATCCTGTAGATAAGGAACACGCTGTCTGTACTGTGCAAGTCTCGTCGTGCTCACTGAAAACAAAACAATGTGTTCAATAAAGCACAGCACAAATTCAGAACCTGAGGGAACAGCCAAACCTTGGAAGGACCCTTTCCCCAACAGGCCAACAGTTGCTTTGCTATAGCTGGATTTTTTTTTTCATTTTTCTTTAAAACATTTTACAGGAAAAAAAGAAAAAGAATTGGAAGAAGAAATCACTATGTAAAATCCAGTGAAGTCTATGACTCAAACCTCTCCTTCATTCTGCTGTCTCTTACCTTTCCCACACCCTCTTTCCATTCAGTTTCTATCTCTCTTTTAGCATTCCTCATTCCTGATGCACTTTTCTATCCAGAGACACCTGTGGCAGGTATCTGGGACCTCAAACTCCCCAGTTTTCCTTGTGGCTCTAGAAAACATTTGTCAAGTCCAATTTCCCCCCTATAGCCCAATTTCAATCCTCTGTAAAATGGGAATAACAATAGTTTCGAGCTCACAGGGGGATTGCACAGCTGAATTAATTAGTACCAGCTCAGTGCTTTGAGATCCTGGATAGAAAATTCTATCAAAGTGTTAAGTATTATTATGAATAATAATTAATGTTTCCATTACATTTATTTTTTCCTTTTTCTCATAAATCATTCTTTGTTTCTTTATTCTTCTTCTTTAGCTCTCCCTTCTCTTCTTTCTTCTCCTATCATTCTTAGTTCTGCTGTTACATTTGCTTTCTCTAATGGACCAAGCAGAAGTATTGTGAGACTGGATCTCCTTCTGTCTCCATTTTATCATGGGGAAGAATCTCATGAGTTCTCAAATGCTGTGCTTGGCTGGAAACAACAGGGACCATGGCATTTCAAGCTGGGCAGCACTTTTGAGTCCTGTTCTCTGAAGCTCCCACCTCCCTTTGGCCCAAGGGGATGTGGGGCAAGACACAGGAAGGGTTGCACGGGGTGGATGCATTAAAGTTGACACTCCTGTGACCTGTAAATCTTTTGGGGAGGGTTGGTGGCAATGAGCCCTGCTGTGGAAACAGGGAGAAGTTTGCATGCTTTCTGACCCATCGGTAGCGACGAATCAAACTCAGAGTAAGACTTCAGAATTAATCACAACATGAATGTGAGGACATTAAACAAACAAGAAAAGGAAAACAAAAACCCCTGCACCTCTTTCTTCTCTTCAGTATATAATTATATATGCATAGTAACATTTTCCTAAAGGAATGTTGGGTTTGCTGAACTATTGTAAAAACCCCACACTTTTATCCCTAAGGAAAAGCACCCCTCTAGGAAAAGAAATAAGAATCATAGCTGAGCTGCACTCTTTGGCACTGACAGAGTGAGGGCTTCTGAGGGACCCACAAATACCACAGTGTGCTCCTTGGCTGGGCCCAGGACGGTGGCAGACTCGCAAAGCAGGAAGGAGGGACCAACCTGACAATTACAGAACTGACCACAAATGTAACAACAAGCAGCTCTGCTGATGACCTCCAGGCTAAGCTAGACTTGAGACCGGGGAGGGGAGGGGGCCAGTGCCAGGTGCAGGGTCACATCCATTCTAGGCTGCTGCAGCCCCTCTTGGCTTTTCCTCATCACTTCAGTTCTGTTTGACTCTTTTCTTTTCTCTTTTTGTGCACATGAGAAATAAAAGCAAAATTTTTTTTTGTATGTCATTTTTGTGGCTTCTGGCTTGTTTCTCTTTCACTCTCTC